AGGGAAGGGAGAGAGGACCACAGCAACATTCCAAATCTTGTGAGAGTGAGCTGCCCCCCATACACACACTGCCCACACACATACACTGCCCCCATACACACATTGCCCCCCCATACACACTTTGCCCTACAAACACTGCCCACACACATACACTGCCCCTCAAACAAACATTGCCCCACAAACACATACAGTACTCCCATACACACATTGCCCCACAAACGGCCCCCCATACACACACATACTGAGCCCCACACACGCATACAGTGCCCCCTCATACACACACTACCCCACACACACATTCACTGCCCCATACACACATTGCCCCCACACACACACATACAGTGTCCAACACACACATACACTGCCCCCATACAGACACTGCCCCCCACACACACAAACTGCCTCCCATACACACACTGCTAACACATACACTGCCCCCCACACACATACATTGCAAAACAAGAAATCATCCAATGAGCAGAAGGTTTCCAAATTTCTGAAGTATAGTTAACTCCAGTAAATATTACAATATCTTATCAGTGTAGTCTGTAGCATCCGCTAAGATAGTCAAATAGCATGCTCCATGGCTGTAGCGAAGAGCAATGGTAGCAGGGCTTATTCTCCACTCGTCACTCCAATAGTTATTCAGGAACAAGCAAAACATCATACAAAGTATAGCATAAGTAGTAATTAAATCCACAAATATCCCATCACCTTTCCCAACAACTGGACGACACTCAGTATCAGGAGCAGAACTGAATTTTAATGCCACATACTCAGCTTTTATGCAATTATCCCATGCAAGGGATACACCCACAGAAAATTAGGCATTGTCCAATCCCTAGCTTGTTACAGCCCACACACTCACTCCCCTTAGTCTGGGAGATAACATAATTAACTGTACATTTGAAACACATTTTTACCGCATTCTTGGATGTACCTCAAAACTATAACCTACACCCATAAATTACATATCCCCTGATAGCCCTGATCTGGGTGAGCAACATACTCAAAAATCATCCAGATCGGTTCAGGGGTTCGGGAATTTCTTGGAGGTTTTTATTTTACCGACCACACACGAGGTGTTAGCCAAAACTTGTGTTTTGGCCTTGCGGTCGGTCTCCGTTCGGGAGGTGAAAAGCACAAAATCATTCAATATAATCTGCTCTGCCTGGGTTCTGATGATGCTCCTTGTCCGTGTCAATCTGTTCAATCTGTTCACCGACGGGTGGAAGTATGGAGGTCTCTGCGGTGTTCACGTGGTCGTGTGTCTAATTTGGGTTCGAGACACTCGACGACCAAACACAGCTGGTGCATTCGTATGTAAAGATGGCCGCCGCCACATGTTCGTATGCCGAACGGTGACCACACAGGGAATACACAGGGCGTTTGTGTGTTTAACAATCAAGGTGGTGTGAATAACGATGGGGAGGTTAGAGCCACACTTCTCTCCGGGGTGGCCTGGTTGTTTGTTCGTTTGTCAAACGGAAAGGCTAAATAAGTTTGCAATTGGATGCCTACCGAACAACCAGACAAATTCTGTAGCAGTCGACTTGTTACTTGTTTCATAAAAGTAACGAACTGTGGCAAATTATGCATAATATTTTAACAATTAAAGTTATGGACAGCCAAAATTATGGAAGGTGGTTAGTAGCCAAACACGGTCCGCTACAATGGCCTCTGCTGTAAACTTCCAAAAAGTCTGCCAGAAAATTCAAGGGAAAAGCCTACAAGAACATGTTAACACACGTCTACGCGTTTTGTCTAATCAGGATATAGATATTATTTAAACTAAGTTATTAGTTTACATATGTTTAAGAGCCAGTGAATAGATACATTATTTTTACAAACATATACACAATCATATTGTTCTAAAAATCAACCAGACTTGACACAAAAATATCTAAAGTTAGAATGGGAAAGGGTTGAACTGTCCAAGATCCTGTGAGTGCATTTCATATTGTGCAGTGTTAATATTGTAAAACTGTATTACACTATACCTCTTTTTATTTATCTTTATTTAGACAATCAGCCGGTTCCCTCGTTGTGTTTAGTATATTCTTGTGTTCAAGTTGATTGCTAGCTGGGAGCGATCTGAGGGAGGCTGCATTCACTTACCACTGATAAGTATCCTTGTATATAAGTGTGTGTATAAGGTGCATTTCTTTTGTTTTTTTTGGTCTATTATATCCCAGCATTGTATTTAGTCGAATCCTAAGGGCCTGAAATGGCCACTATTATAGACTTTTTGTCTAATATGCAAAAACACAGTTTAAGAAAGTTTGAAGCAATTTTCCAAGAGTGTGATAAACCCCAACCCCTTAAGGGATTAAATGAGTATTTTAAATGTAAGGAAAAATTATTATATGGGGAAACAAAAAAATGGTGGGAAATAGCCTTCCTAGAAAATTATCTTAAAGAAGGATTTATCCCACGGGGTTTAATGTTGGAAAAGACTCCTGCTTTTGGTCTAGATAGTGAAAATTTCATGAACGAATGGGATGAGATTCTATCCAATTGTTCATTTCAGTTAATGCAACTTATCATTAAGTATTCAAAAGATATGAAAGAGAAAATTGAGGAGGAATTGGATCTATTGGAATCTAATGCACAGATTGACCTAGGAAGCATGGAGTATAAAGAGAGGGATGAATCTTTACAAACAAATGTAAAACAATTAGATGAGAAATTTTCAGAAACTAAAAGTATAAAATATAGAAGGGATAAGGAAGACAAAATTAACAATACCTTTTCCACCTTAAATAGGATGTCGAGGAAAAAACTTCACTTCCAGAGAGATTCTTTTTCGAACTCCCACTCCCCTTATAAGAAAAAATTTGTATCATGATTATAGGAGAAAAAACAAAGGAGATTCGCATATAAAGGAGATTAACAGGTTTACTCGTACCCCCTCAAGAGAGAGACCAGAGTTACAAAATAGATATACACGTCCATTTGAGAAGAGGGTTATTCGTACCCCCTCAAGAGAACGACCAGAATTTCAAAATAGGAATGTACGTCCATTGGAAAAAAGAGGAGCAAGATCTTATGCTCAGGTAGTTAGACAAGATGAAAATAATAGCAGATCTAGCTCCCAATATAATGAAAAAGAAGAAAATTTTCAGGGGGGAACCCGAGGTCCAAAAGAGAAACCAATTACTTTTACCCCAGGACCAATACTTGGGAACATCGAAATTGGTTCTCACCCCTACAAGTAGATTCTCCCAACAAGAAAACAAGAATGGAGGATTAGAGGATTTGGCACGTGGTCTGGCCATTGTGAAGGCTAAAGAAAGAGAGAAAGGTATCTTTAAAATATCAGCTTTACCCATGTCGGATGATGAGATACAATTACTATCAAAAGGCATGAAATTTGCACCAAATAAAACATCAAATGAATTTAATTTATATATTGATTTAAAAAAATACATTAGCTCATTAACGTTAAAGAGACACTTTTTGTTACAATCCAATCAGACAATGATTCCAACTATAGATGAGGAAGAACTAAGAAGCAGAAAGTTTAGACCTAAATCACATTTTTATCCCACACAAAATAGGGGTCCATATTTGGAAATTTTTGAAAAATTAGTGGATAGAGAGTTTAAAATTTATGGCTAAAAAAACCATAATTTTAATAATAGTAGAAATTTAACTAGGGAGGAAGATAAATGTTTAAAGAAACTAAAGAAGAGAGAAGATATTATAATCAAGGAAGCTGACAAGAGGGGGGGATTGTTATTATGTCTAGGAATTATTATTTGCAGGAAGCCCAAAACATCTTAAGTGATAATGAAACTTACACTGTATTTATACGGGATCCGACTAAGGAATTTAACTTAGTCCTCAAAAATCTTTTAGAGGTATCAAAAAATAAGGACATAGTTTCACAGGCAAATTATGACTTTTTCTTTTGTAGTAATCCGAGAATTCCAATTTTTTATTTTATTCCAAAAATTCACAAATGTTTATTTAATCCCCCAGGTCGCCCCATAATTAGTGGGATAGATTCCTTGTCAGCTAACCTCTCTGCATTTGTGGATTCATATCTACAAAAGTATGCTCAAGGCTCTCTTTCCTATATAAAAGATACAAAATCATTTTTACAAGAACTGGAAAATATTGAATGGCATCCTAATTATAGTTGGGCCACATTGGATGTATCATCCCTTTATACTATAATTAGCCATGAATTGGGATTAGAAGCTATCAATCATTTTATGACGGAAGATCGAAATCTCAGGATATTAAAGAATTTATTTTATATTCAGTTAAATTTATTTTAGAACACAATTATTTTTTCTTTAATGATAAATTTTATTTACAAATCACAGGAACCGCCATGGGCACCAGGTTCGCCCCCAGTTATGCCAACACCTACATGTGTAGATGGGAAGATTTAACAGTGTGGGTTGGTCATGACTGGAGGGAGAACCTGGTGCTCTGGCGGAGATATATTGACGATGTTATTATTATTTGGAAGGGGTCTTTATTTCAATCATTTAAAAATTATTTGAATCAAAATAAATATAATTTAAAGTTTACTTCCACATGGAATCAAAAAGAAATTAATTTTTTGGATTTGTCTTTGTTCTCACATATCAATCAGATTAGAACAAAGTGCTTCTTTAAACCAAGTGATGGCAATGGATACGTTCATCTGCAAAGTTGCCATCATCGTCCCTAGCTTAGAGGGATAGCTAAGGGACAATTGGCTAGGGTGAGAAGAAATTGCTCACAAGTTCAGGATTTTATAATACAATCCAATCATATTAAGAATAAATTGGTGGAAAGAGGTTATAAGAAGAACACACTTGACAGGGAAATTCGTATAGATCTACAGACCGACAGGGGGAATTATCTGATGGACAAGCCCCGTGCCAAATCCTACCAGGATAATATAACTGCCTTTAGAACTCAGTATTGTACAGACCATACCAAAATTAGGAGGAGTTTACAGAAACACTGGTTGATTCTCCAACAGGATCCTGTACTCAATTCTATTTTACCAGATCAGCCTAAACTTATCTTTAGAAAAAAATCAGAATTTTAAGAACACTTTGGCACCTAGTTATGCCATAAAAAATCTCGAGGGTAATCGAAAACCTGTTGACAATCATTCCTTTAGAGGTTGTAACTCTTGTAAAGCTTGCCATACTGTTAATCTTGAAAGAACAGATACATTTTCTAGTTTTATTACAGGTGAGGCATTTCAGATAAAGTCTGAAATTGGTTGCCGCACGGACTATGTAGTTTATTTACTGCAGTGTCCGTGCGGCAAGCAATATGTAGGCAGGACAAAGAGGCTCCTGAAAGTATGATTTCTGGAGCATATAAATAATATCAAAAAGAACTTGGCCACTCATTCTATTCCGGTACACTGCAATCAATGGCCACTATTTTCCTTCACTGGTTTTAAATGTATTGGTATTGAAAGGGTATTGGTTGATTGGAGAGGGGGAGATAGGGTTAAAAAGTTATCACAAAGAGAGACGTACTGGATCCACAGGCTACAGACACTGGAACCTGGTGGACTTAATGTGGATGTGGACCTAGTGTGTTTCCTATAAATGTATATCACTATTTGTAATAGTTATTATAAATATTGGAATTTCTTAGAATGTTATTAACAATTAAGCACTGAATTACACAGGATGAATTAGGCTAATTAATAACATAATAATATAATATAATTAATATAAAAGACACTTCTGATTTGATTATAAGAAGGATAACACATACGATGAAACTAATGTTTATTATAAATTAAAGTTAATATTAGATATTTAAACAATATATCACAAAATTAGGAGATGAAGGATTAGTTAATATATGATTCACATTACTAGATTATGAGTATATACAATATGGAAGAAATTTAGTGATTTGCTAAGTATTGTGTAGATGGTGTAAAGTAAATATATGCATACATTATAGGGAAATATACTATGAATGGATTTGTGGTTAAGTTGTTGGACTATTTGTATGTAATCTTATGGCTAGATATTGCAGAATACTGATGGAACGCAAAAAAAAAAAACGAAGGTGGAACGCATGCCATTTCCGGATATACATAACTTCCGGGTTTGTGAGTACAGTTGGAACGCATAGCACTTCTGGTTTCTGGAACATACGGAAGTGCCGAAAATAACCGGAGAATCACAGAAATAATGGAGATCAACTGTGAACACCCGGGAATGAGATCTCCAACAGATGAAACTCATCTACACAGGACCAATGAGGAAGGACAGAGAGGCACATGTGATTAATTACATTTAGGGATTAGCCCTATTTAAAGGACTTGGGGGTGGAGGGATGTTAGGCTGTTTTTTTGATTGTACTGCATTGATTGTTATTTTAATATTGCGGTCCCTGAGGAAGTCCCATACTTTATAGAAGGGACGAAACGCGTAGGACGTCTATTTGTATTTATTTTATATTTTTATACAATTAAAGCCGCTTTTTTCATACCTTCACCCGGAGTCCTGCATTTTGAGTGGAAGTGTCCAGGGGATTCCCCCAGCCCCCCATATCATCAGGGGTGGCACCATATATGCCTGAACTGTCCAAGATCCTGTGAGTGCATTTCATATTGCGCAGTGTTAATATTGTAAAACTGTATTACACTATACCTCTTTTTATTTATCTTTATTTAGACAATCAGCCGGTTCACTCATTGTGTTTTGTATATAGATGCTATGAGATATGATATATGAGAATAAAATTTTCAGTTGTTTTGTTCATTCATTAAATAATTCCAAAAGCTTACCATGTGAATGTCTTAAATATAACCACAATGTCTCCAGTACTTAAATAACTATTTAAGTTAGTATACCAGCACATACCAATTTTTGACATTATTAATTGGCTGTCAACCAATAGAGGATAAAGGCTCTCGACCAATATAAAACAAAGTAGGTATGCTAATTTGGAGACATTAGGTCCAGCTTATCTGATTCTGTGCAGTTGACACAAGCTACTACCATGCTATATGCAATACTACTACCACTATGCTTTGGTAGAGCAGCAGGAATGGTGAGGATAGTGCCAGTAGTAGGCAGAGGCTGGTTGGATAGGAACCAATCCTCATCTTGTGAATAAAAAAAGAGTTCTGTTTTTTTTTTGTTTAATTTCTATATATATATATATATATATATATATATATATATATATATATATATATATAATAATAATAATAATAATAATAATAATAATAGGCATTGCAAAAATTTTGAAATTGTATAGCCATTTGCTCAGGAATTATTGTAGCTGTTTTTCCATGCCAGCACAGTCATTTTTGTTGGTACTGAAATTCAGTGTAGCTGAACAGTTTTATAGACTAAATTTTGCTGACCATAAAAAAAAATAAAAAAATAAATAAATAATTCTGCTGAAGTAGCTAGGAAGAACCAAATGTTTTGTCCCTGCACAAGTCAAGGTAACAGAAATCTGGTTAGAAAGTAAAGTTGAAATTCCATGCAGCAAAGTTCAAACTAAAATAAAAGATTCTCACCGACCAGGTAAATGCTCATGCAGAGTTGTCCTGCCCTCTCATATGGCTTGTAATATGGAACAAACTGTAAGAGTACCCACAGTGTAAGATAAATAAACACGACACACATTTTCTTTGAAGAGGAGTAATAAACATGCGAGACACATAGATATCTACCCCTTATAATTCTACATTTTTGATCTGTTAGCTATAAAGGCATCTAAGTATTTGTATTTTAAATTGTGCTGTGCATGTTTAGCCTACTTTAAAGTGACTCTACTATTCATTCACTCTATATTACTGCAAAATACATATTGCATTTGCTTGATGACTAGCAACAAATTAAGTAAATGTTTGTTACCAACAAAAGGCAACAAAATAGAACATTTGTCAGTGTCCATATAATGTCAATTTTAATTTCCATTATATGTTTCCTCTTATTTTGGGTATAAAGTTACTCTTTAAATACAGTGCAACTGCTTTATCCCCTGGTTTGTCCTTAATGAATGGTATCACTTGTTACAACTGCCATCACTTGGCCTCTCTGGTGGCTCACCTTGTTCAGGATAGTTATACAGCATTTCCAACTGCATTTATTGCATATCTTTCAAATCAGATATGCAGCCAGTTCAATCATCTAATAATGAGATGCTATCATCAGTTGAAGATTAGGATGGCACAAACCCTTAAGGCTTTTATTTCTTCAGTACCAAATACAGACGAGAAGCAAAAGACAAAAATCATCATCAGTTTACTAATGGAATCAGTAGTATGTATAACTGATATCAGGTTGTAACTATTTATCATATGTGTAAAGTATGACTAATTGCCTTGATGTTTTAAAACCAATCAGAATTTTTTTTTTTTTTTTGTTTTTTGTTTTTTTTACACATTTTCTTTACTCACATGTATAATGAAGTTTTCAGTTTGGGTAACCTGCTGGATTGATAATTTTATCTCCAAACACATTTTTTTGCAGCACAAATATGTAATACCTGTTTGGTTTATATATACACACCTTCTATGACTACTTAAACACTTTATTATTTACTATGTTGTTGTCACGTTTTCATTCTCTCCTACGCCATAAGACCGGCATTTGCGACATGTCAGTGGACACCGGCCGCTGTGGATCCACACTGTTATGTAGCCCAATGTCTGTTCACGATTGTGGCAATGTCGACGTCACGCAGAGGATGCGCGCACGTTTTGAGGTCATAGGCCGGATACGGCCAATCGGATTCACAAGAGGGATACTTAAACTCACTAATTTCTTCTGCTCATTGCCCTGTCATGGATTCCCTTTGCTGGTTATTCCTAGAGTGTGTTTCTGATCGTGTTTCTTTAGTATTTGACTTTGGCTTCATCCTGACTTTCCTGATTTCTGGTAACCCTGACTATTGGCTATTCTTTGCAACTGTGTTTCATTCTGTGTTCCTGACCCTGGCTAGTAATTTGACTATTCACTTATACATTAAATCCAGCCATTCTAAGGTCCGGTTAGACGTTATCATTATTCCTAAGTGTGATACTAATACTGTGTGTTCGATCAATTGTAATCCTGACATTTGTAACAGCAGTCCACATGCTTCTTGTGAGCTCTTATCATACTCATGAATGTACTCACAGAAACTAGTACTTACAGGAATAATATCTAATTTACCAAATACAATACTCAACGTCTACTCAGGACAATATTTTTGATTAGTGTAAGAATCTGTGAGAGGCACCTGGGTACCCAAAACAGATACTCAGGCCCTGTTCCAGGTAGTGATAGTGTCTAACAAAAATCCTGTTACACATATATAAACTGTGCATGGTAGATTTGCTTACCATGTTTACTGTAATTTTTGTAATATCATAAATTACATTTGACATTGTCATGGGTCAGTTCTCAGCAATAACCTTTATGTTGGGATTAAAACAATAATGAAGCCAAATTTGCCAATTTAAAAAGCCAATCAAGACATAAAAGGTAGGATTACAGTAGTAGTAAAACACATTTAAAGTAACAATTAGGTTTTAATTAAGGTGAATGCATGTTTTCAAACCTATTTTTTGCAAACTGTGGAACACACTGTGCACTAGAACCCATATGCAGAGTGATAGGTTACTCTCTAAATTACAGAATTTCTTAAACTTAGACATGAAAGGTACTAGAAATATTGTCGGCAGGAATTTTATATATCTTATATACACCAATATAATGTGCATTATTAAGTAAAGCTTAGAGTTGAACGGACACCTGGATGTTCAAGTTCGCCGGAACTTCACAAAAAAGTTTGAGTTCGGGCTCGAACTAGACCCCGAATCCCACTTAAATGCCTCTAAAAAAGTCCTGGAAAGGGCTAGAGGGCTGTAAATGAAAGTAGAATAGAATATAGAATAGGACAGGTGCCCTGCAAACAAATGTGGATAGGGAAATCACTTAACATAAAATACCTAGAAATTAAAAATACAGCTGAGCCATAAAATAGCACTAGATGGAATCTTTGAGGAGGATCACCAGAATTATCCATTTGAGAGAGGGTTGGAGTGCAGGGTATTCTCTTTCATTGTTCAAACTGAGCTCAACTCATGATGCATGGAGAAAAGACATTCACAAGCCTTTGCTATTGTGTACATAGTTTATACTAAGTGACCCATAGGTTGAGGAGGCGGTGACCGTGGCAGTGTAGGTGGAAGCGGCAGTGGAGTTGGCCAACACTAT